ATCATTTTATTAACAGAAGCCTGGGGTTTTTCTCAGCATTCAACTCTCTCTATCCTGTTTTCTGTGTTTTAAAATGACTTGCTTCTTCTGGGAATACCCTAAATTTGGTTTTGCATCAAGAAAAGGTTGTGGAGCAGATGACTTCCCAAAGCATCTTCTAACCTGACCTGTGTCAGTAAAAAAATCCTTACATTGTCCAATTTTTGCTAAACATGGCTGTCAGCTTGTCCCAGGTCACATGAGCACTGTATATGTTAATTTATAAATTCTGATGCTAGTAATGACAGGAAGGTTGTATGTAAGGACCACAGTATTTAAATTCTCAGAAGAGAAGAGAGGATATGAAAGAGACCATGAAAACTGAAAAGGTGGTAAAGTTAATGAATTAGAGAGACTGGGTAACATCCAATAACTACCCCAGGATTTGTAAATATTTATAATGTATATGAATTTCTAAGGAGCCCTGCTGGCACAGTAGGGAAAGCATCAGACTGCTCCCACCAATCCCTCCTCAGAGAAAGGTGAGCTCATCTGCTTCTGTGAAGATTTATAGTCAGGGAAATCCCACTGAGCAGGTCTACACTGACGACCAGATTGAAACTCAATTCACAATAAAAAAAGGAGCGAGACTAACAAAAGGCCTAAACCAAAACAAGTGCTCATGCTCACTGTCATCCAAGCGATTCCGACTCATAGTGACCCTACGGAACTATAGACTCCTAGACCGTATATATTCTATCCTATAGAGCAGGGTAGGATTGACCTGGTGGGTTTCCTAGACTGTAGATCTGTACAGGAGTAGGAAGACTCATTTCCCCCGGCAGAGAAGCTAGTGACTTTGAACTGTTGACCTTGGTGGTTAGCAGCCCTCACTCCAGGTAACCCCCTCACTCCAGCTGGGGTGTGGAAAATCAACACACTATCAACTCAATGAAATAACAAAAGAAACGTGTTTTAAGTGTGAGAAATAGCAATTCCAACATTAACCATGCCAAATAAATAATCCATCATAGTGAAAATGTTTTAGGTGAGCTGGTCTGAGACACTGGGATCGTGAAAATTGCAGCAACAACAAAAAATGATCATTTTATCAACTCGGCCTCAAGGTGCCTCCACTTGTAACAAACTGCTCTGCAGTGTTTTCTGACTGTGATCTTCCCAGAAGCAAAGAGCCGGATCTTTCTTCCATGGCATGCTGGTTGTATTCTAACCACCAACCTCCAGGTTTGGAATATGGAATCACGTGTGCCACCTAGGGAACTTATTAGGGTTTTATAGGACGCAGAAGAAAGAAAAAGGGAAAAAGCACATTTATCTATACCTATATATGTCAGACATGAGCCCTGGTGGCCTCGTGGGTTACATGTTGGGCTACTATCCACAAAGTCAGCAGTTGGAAACCACCAGTCATGCCTCAGGAGAAAGATGAAGCGTTCTACTCCCATAAAAAGATGCAGTTATCTGAAACTTACAGGGACAGTCTACTCTGTCTTAGAGGGTTGCTATGACTTGGAATTAACTGGATGGCATGACTTTGGAATTGTATGTCATCTATGTTGGGCTGATAACCACAAATCAGTGTTGTAAACACATCAGCTTCTCAGGGGGAAATTTACAGTTTCAGAAGCCATATCTGGGTCATTGTGAGTCTGAATTAACTCTATGGTAGCAGGTGTGTGTGTGTGTGTGTGTGTGTGTGTGTGTGAAAGAGATAGAGAAAGAGAGAGAAGAAACAAAAAAATACAAACAAAAATTTGAACAATATGACTAAGGCAATGGAAGGTACTGAGAGACACACAAAGTTTGGGACAATAAAAGTAAATATTATTACACACAATCTTGAAATACCAATAATAAGTAATAATCTATGGGTAGATACATAAGCAGACATACAAGCTGAACATGAATTGGGTGGGTAATTGCACATGTGTATTTGTGTGTGCTATAAATATATCTATGTATATAGTTGAGCAAGGAACAAGGTGTAGGGGTTAAAGGTTGAACTACTAACCACAAAGTCAGCAATTTAAACCCATCCCCAACTGCTCCATGGGAGAGAGATGAGACTGTAAAGATGGAAAGTATAAGAAATCCAAAGGGAAGATTCTACACTGCCCTACAGCATCATTATGAGTTTGGACAGACTCAGTAAGAGTGAGTTTGGTAGAGCAAATAGGACAGTGTTATGAAAATTTCTTGGCCATAATGGGAGAAAAGTGTAGGAAAAAATTCAGACTTATTGGTCTCATGGAGACTGATAAAATGCTCAAGACTGATAAAATAATAAAATGGTTAGTAGACAGGCTTAATACCTGTAATTGAACCCCTTCCTGCGGAATACCCTGAAGTCAAACAACAGATAGGTAAAGTAAATAATAACCCCTGTGAGAAAGATACTTCTCATAATAATCAACGCTATGAGTATCATTGCTGATGTCAGAAGGATCTTGGCTCAAAGAAGGGCATATACCAGAAAGATGTTTACTTCTGTTTTATTAACTATGCCAAAACATTCAACTATGTGGATCAAAACAAATGATGGATTACCTTGAGAAGAAAGAGAATGATTAAGTGTGCTCATGTAGAACCTGTACGTGGATCAAGAGGGTTGTGCAAACAGAGCAGAATACTGCATGGTTTAAAATCGGGAAATGTGTGTGACAAGGTTGTAGCCTCTCTCCACTTCTATTCAATCTGTGTGCTGACCAGCTAATCAGAGAATCTGGTTGATAAGAATAAGAATGCTGCACCAGGATGGGAAGAAGACATTAACAACTTGCAATATGCGATGACAACATAGAGGACTTGAACCAGTTGATGATGAATATCAAGGGTTCAGCCTTCAGTATGAATTACAACTTAATGTAAAGAAAACTAAAATCCTCACAATTGGCCCAAAAGGTAATACCATGATAATGGAGAAAACTTTTGAAGTTGTCAAGAATTTCGTCTTGCTTGGACCCATAATCAATGCTCATGAAAACAACAGTCAAGAGATCAATTGATGCATTGTATTGGGTAAATCTGCTGCAAAAGACCTCCTTAAAGTGTTGAAAAGCAAGGCTGTTACTTTGAGAACTGAGAGGCGCCTGACCCAGGCCATGGTATTTTCAATCACCCCAGATGCATGTGAAAGTTGTTCATTGAATAAGAAAGACTGAAGATAAAATGATGCTTTTGAATTGCTATGCTGGTAAAGCATATTGAAGGAACCATGAACAAACAAGTCTGTCTTGGAAGAAATGTAGTCAGAATGCTCCTTAGGAGCAAGGATGGCAAACTCCATTCGTGTACTTTAGACATGTGATCAGGAGAGACCAGTCCCTGGAGGAGGACATCATGCTTGGTAAAGAGGAGAGGCAGCAGAAGAGAGGAAGACTCATTGATATGGATTGAGACAGTGGCTGCAACAATGGGCTCAAACATAAGAGCAATTGAGGGGATGGCCGAGGACTGGGCTGTGGTTTGTTCTTTGTACACAGTCACTATGAGTCGAAATGGATTCAACAGCACCTAACAACAACAACAACTTGAGACCTAACAAAGCTCATGAGGCAGGAAAGGGCAGGAAAGAAGGTAACAGGGAACTCAGGGAGGAAGTGCAAAGAGTATTGCAACTAATGTCCTGAAACAAAACGTGTATAAAGTATTGGCTGGAAAACGAATTTGCTCTGCAAGTTTTCATCTGAACCGCAATTTTTTTAACTAGAGAAAATATCAATAGGGCCAAATTAACTAATGATTATAATAAATAGTCTTAAACTGGCAACATTTTCATAGCCAATAAACTTTTTATTCCACCTGATACAAATATGAAGTGTGAATTCAAAATAAAGAACTTTACTACATAGTTTAGTCTTTTTGATATTGATCACTAACTCTTCATAGATACAGATTTTAGTAACCTGTGTCTATACTTCTTTAAGTTAAATTTTTATTGTGAATTGGATGAAGGTTTATAAAGCAGATCATCAGCTTTTGTTGAATGTAAGATTCAGCAATTCATACACATTTTGCTTCATCTCATTCACTGAATCCCCTCATTGGAACATCACTTATCCAACTTTGCCACTGCATTTTTCCTTCCAGTTCTCTTTCTTCCCTAACCCTCCTGAACTTTGTCCTTGGGTAAATACTTCCCTTTTGATCTCAAATAGTTGACAACTCTCAGGTGTGCAGACCTCATTGGTGGTGGTGTTCCCTTTCATATCGCACCTATTATTTGGCTGAAAATTGATCCAGAAGAGTGAGTTCAATTCTAAACCAGAAGTATAACTAAATGCCATAGTTTCAGGGTACCATCAGTCTCTATGTAATCAATAAGCCTGGTTTCTTTTTTGATTTTGAGATTTGTTCCACATGTTTCTCTCATTCTACTATGTTTTAATCATAGATGCTTTCACCTAAATTAAATATTGAATATTTAATTTAGAAAGAAATAAATAGTAATAAAGTCAGGAATATAGACAATTTCTTTAGTATAAAGGGATAGGCCTTGGATTGAATGATGTTCCCCCAAAAGATATGGTGAAATCCCAGTCTATACATGCAAATGTGATATTGTTTGGAGAAACAGGGTTTTTTTTCTTTTGTGATCAATTGGGTCAAATGAGGTCATATACCACAGTAGGTGGGCCCTACACCTAATTGTTTCAGAGTGATGTTTTACAAAAGGGAGTACAGATACAGATGTAAAGGAGGCCACACACACAGGGGGGAGTTTGGTATTGTATGAGTATATATATATATATACTCATGAGTATATATATGTATATATATATGGGGGAGTTTGGTATTGTATGAATATATATATATATATATATATATATATATATATATATATATACACATATAAAGCTAAGTCATCTACTCCTGAAGATGCTATAAAAATGATACCGATAGGCATCAATTTATCAGTCCAAGTCATCCTATTTAGAATCTGGGTGAATTTTAAGACCACAATCATTTGGGGAAAATATATACCTCGAAGTTGCTTTTACCTGTTTATTTCTCAGAGGCTGAATCACTTCCCTCACACACAGCTCTAGGTCATTGACATAGTCCTTCTCTGTCTGCATCAGCTCCTTAATGATTTTTGACCGCTTTGCCATCATTCTCACCAGCTGATGCTCATCTTCCTGGGCGGGAGTCTCAGCTTCACAGCATCCGGCCTGTGGAGTCATCTTTTCTAACAAATAAAAACACGCGCATGTAAGACTTTCCATAGAGGGTTCTTTTTCCTATTAGCAGAAAAGGGGCTTGGGTGTCTTTACTGCAGGCAGTTAAGAAATTATGTGCACGAATTTCCCTGGAAGTTCTGAATCTTATGAAACTATGAACCCACTGGGCTGAGGGGGTGAGAGTATGCAGTTCTTTTTTCACTTCCACTTTTTATTGTTGTGAACATATATATTTAATATGTATCACGTGTACAATTTACTGACATCAAATACATTAATCATCTTGCGCAGCCATGACAGGAAGCACTGTCAAATTTCTCACCATCATAAACCAAATTCACCGCTTCCTAAACAATGACCGCCCCCTTGTCTCCCTCTCTCCTGGCCCTGGTAATTACTAATACACTTTGGTCTCTATACATTTGCCTATTCTAGATTTTTCATAGTAGTGAAGAAATTCAATATTTGTCTTTTTGTGATTGAATATACCCAAGTATAAGCCAACCTGAATGTCAACCGAGGCACCTAAGTTTAGCACAAAAACGGAATAAAAATTGTGCTGAAAAACGCGGCTTACACAAGAATATAGACGGGATTCCACTCATCGTGATTTTTAAGGTTTGTCCATTTTATGGCAGGTATCAGGTCTTTATTTCTCCCTATGACAGAATAATGCTCTATTGTTTGTGTGAGAGGACTTCAAAAAGCGTATAGAGAAATTCGATTATATTTTAATTCCATTTTTCTACAATCTTTTTGAAACTTCCTCATGTTTTGTGTGTCCACTCGTTTCCCACTTGGTATTAGGGTGTTTTCACCTCTGGGAACACGGCTCGGGCTGAAAGGAGCATTCGTGTTCCTGTGCTCTGTTTTCATCGCTACTTTGAAGCTCTTCGGGTGGAAGTTCAGGCTTATATGACAACTACATGTTTGCTTTTTTTGAGAAAAAAAAGAAACTTTTCCACAACAGCTGTTTCAGTTTATATTCCCACCAGCAAGGGGCGAGGGTTCCCATTTCTCATAATCTCACCAAGTTATTTTCCATAAGTTTTATCTTAGTCATCCTAGGAGATGTAAAGTAGTAAATCCTTGTGGTTTGGGTTTACATTTCCCTGTTTTAAGTGCTGGTATGCTAACAGAAAGGTCAGTGACTCAAATTTGCCAAGCACTCTGTGAGAGAAAACGGAGGCTATCTGCCCCTATAAATATTTTTGGCCTCCTTTCTTGCCAAGGACTTGGTTCATAGTAATCCTACAGCACAGAGTAGAACACCTCTTTGTGTGTCCAAGACTTGAATTCTTTTCTATAATAGATAGCCTCATCTTTCTCTGGAGGAGTGACTGGTGGGTTTGACTGTTGACCTTGTAGTTAACAACTCAATTCCTAGCCCACCACTCCACCAGGGCTCCATATTTACAGCCTAGCAAACCCTGTGTAAGGTTCCTACGAGCAAGGAGCCACTCAATGGCAGTGCCTTTGAGTTGGTTTGTGTTTTGGGATAGCGAATGATGTCGAGCATCTTTTCACGTGCCTCTCCACCCTTTGTATGTCTTCTTTGGTGAGGTGTATATTCAAATATTTTGCCCATTTTTTATTCTTAAATTGCAGGAATATCTTAATAAGTCATTTGTATCATATTTGACTATCATAATTTATGTTTAAAATATTTTATCACTCTTCTCTAGAAAGTTGGACTTCAGAGTGAGTGTAGGATATATAAACCACAGTTCAGAATTTCTTGTGATATGTTGATTGTGAAGTCAATAGAAGATTTTTATTAGTAAAATAACTTGCAATCTTGTTTTTGCCTGATATTAAAATCTACAGTCCTTATACCCAATGGGTAATATCCATACCTTAGTGAAACAGAAAACAGTTACACATAACTGGTTTGTTTTGTTTTTGATTTTCAATTCACAGTTAATCAGAACACATGATGAGTGTATTAAAATAATTCCAACTAAGATTTTTTAAATGAATTATCTTCAATCCTTTGCATACTTTGGTATTTCAAAACTGTTGAATTGTCAAATGGAAATATCTAATTTTTAAAATCACAACACTGAGGTATTGAGAGAACTGGGAAGCCTCAAGGGCAGCCAAGTTTTATATGAACTGTTCAGGCAACCAAGCTAAACATCCTCAAGGAAGATCACTACAGGGCAGTATAAAGGTTTGGAAGCCACAACCCATCTACAGATTAGAGTCAGAGAAATGACAGATCAGAGGGAAGAGAGTATACATACGTGTATACGCGTGTTTGTGTATGTATGCAGATGTATGTGCATGTGTGTAAATGGATTTGCTTCCAGCTTAAAATCACTCCAAACTTAATTTTCACCTTAGTTCCATTTCATTAAAACTAATGGTAAGTGTAGTAACTATGTGAGGTACCTCCAGTGCTGATACTATGTCCTGAGGTGAAGAGCTTTAGGATAAAAAGCTCGTGAGTCGCAATGCATGCCAGTGGTGAACGAGAAAGGAGGACCTCATGACTGATGGCAGCAGCAAAGTTTAGGTCATTGGAGGATGTTAAAGTAAAGGCATTATGGGTTCACCATAAAGAGAATGAGAAAAGACACTTCAGAAAATTAGTTAGCATTCCTAGCTCCCTGAACCACTAACTCTAGGAGTTCAAGCAGAGGCCGAATAAGCACACATCTGTGGAGAATGCAGTAAAGATCATTTTAGCATTAGTTTGGCAGTTGCACTAGATTGATCTGTCCTGAATTGCCGGTGACTATGCTTCCGGATCAGTTGCCTGGGAACTGGCAACTTCCTTCCTCATGGAAAGAAGACATGTAACAAACAGCACCGAAGACCAGCTGATTTGCCAAGGCAGGGCCTATTCAGTGCCAGAGATCCACTACATACGTTGATTTTTGTTGAATCCACACCAAGGAGAAAGAATGCATGCCCCAAGGGATTGTAGAGTTTTCATATTCTTGATCTGTTAGGAAATGTGGGGGATGCTTATGAATTTGTAAAATTTTTACACATTAGGAAATCAGAGTAGACTGCCTCTCAGGGTCCCAAAGGAGAAAGGAAAAGTTCTTCTTGGGGGTCATTACCATATCCATCATTTTATGCATGAAAGGAGGAGGCAGATGAGAGACATGCGATGGCCATTCCACGGAGAGAATTTGGCCAGGGGTGAGTTCCCTGTGGATAGTCCATGCAAACAGGCTCCTTGGAGAGAAAAATAGGATCCTTTATTCCTGGGTGGCACAAGCAGGTTATGTTGGACAACTGACCTATATAAATTAGTGGTTCAAACCCACCCTGTGTCACCACAGATCGTTAACAAAAAGAAAGCTTACAAACCGAGAGCTGACACAATACTACAGATTGCATCTGATTATTACTCAAGATTATTTTGAAAACAAAAAGGAATGCTGTTTTTAAAAAATAAGCTAATCTGACCAATGTTTGCTTTTGAAAGTTCTAAACTTTGTGTGCCTTGTCTGATAAAAGTTATCTTTCAATATCGGGAGCCTAGCAAGGAGAAGGAAATTTTTCCTTAACTTTGCTCAACGTACTGCTAAGACGTGTTCTCAGGCTCCTTTGGTTATCCATTCCTGGGATCATTACTATAGCAATTCAGTTTATTTATCAGATTTTCCAGTTGCTATATTTTGAAATGCACATCAGTTTTGTCAACTAAAAAATGCTTAGATTTTTCTAATACTTATCAATGCCTTGTTAAAAACAAATGTGAGGATTCAGAGGTAATTAAAAATGCCAGTCAGTAAGTTGAACTTCAGAAACTTCTCCCTTCAGGTGTGTAAAATCTTCTCAAGGAATTTAGTGTTGAGCAATCTTCTGTGGTATCTTTGTTTGCTTTTTGACTCAAGTTTATTGCTGGAACAAAGACGACTTGCATCATTTTATGGTCAGGCCTCTAAAAACTTTCCACGTTTGCATTTCTTACATCAACAAACTCTGCAATGCATTATGGATACAATTTTGTTCTGATAAGTTCTTCCTCTACCTTTAAACTTTATTTCCTAGTTATATTAAAATTTTAACTATAAAACTTCTTGTAACACACGAGTATTACAAACACCTATTGCTCAAATCAACATTCAGCTATCTCAACTGAAATCTATTGTCATCAAATAAATTATGATTCAAAGTGACCCTATAATCCAGAAAACTGCTTCAAAGGATTTTCAAAGCTAGATATATTTATGGAAACAGCCTTATTTTTCTCCTGTGAGGCAGCTGGTAGATTTGAACCCCTAACCTTTCAGTTAGCAGTCCAACACTTACAGCAATCCTTAATTCTGGGTAAAGCAACAGAGAAGCTAAGTATTTAGAAAAGAAGAAAAAAAATAGAGCTGTAGCAATGACTGTTTTCTAATAGTTAGCTTAAGCTAGAATACTATTTCAAAAATGAAGTGAAAATAAGGTTAAAAGAATATTTAGATTGTTTTTATCCAAATGTGCCACAGTATCATATAACTGACTTGCTTCTCCTATCCGCTACTTCTTTCACCCAAGCTTCATTTCTTCAGAAGGGTTGATGAACTTTGACTATCCGAGCCACAAATTTTATTGATAACATGTATGCTGATTCCTGGCTGTGATTTGTGGGAAAGGATAATTAATCAGAATGAGGGTCAGCCCTGCCATTGTCAGCAATGAGAGTGTGGTGGGCAACTTATTTATCCGCACAATGCATCAGTTTCCTCATCTGTAAAATATCAATGAAAATCATCCGTGTCATCATGGAGACATGGAATTTTAAAAAGCTGTGGTATGTGGAAGCTCTGTGAGATCCTTCAAACAATACAACATTAGGCATCTTTTCGACAGCCATGGAAAAGATAGGGTCCTTTCCTCCATATTGTCTGAACGCTTACACCACAAAGGGCCAACAATCATCTCTTTATAGCTATCGGTTGGTCAAGATAACAGCATGACCGTGAGGTAGGTAAACAGCTGCTTTCAAATGAGAGAGAGAAAGAAGAGAAAAGAGGGAGCACGGCAGGGGACAGTTACAGCC